AAAAATAATAGCTGCAAGACATTTTGACCAGTTTCACTATTTTTTTGTACAAATGCAGCTCATTATCTAATAAAAACCCATATTAGTCTAAACTTTTTAGAATAATTAGAGAAATTTACCAAAACTTTGCAACAACAACCAACTTTTTACTAAGAACATTTAGGTAAATTCTAAGTATAAAGTTTTATAGCCTATTAAATTCTACAATTCGCGTTGATTTTTGATATTCTTTTTGCGCGCATTATTTTTTTCCATCCCAAAAAATTGTCTTTGTATGGAAGAAATGAGCGATAAAACTTCGTACTTAGAACTCTTCTAAAAATTCTTAATAAAAAGTTGTTGTAAAATTTTGGCGATTTTTTTTCTTATTTTTCTACAAAGTTTGAAATTTGGAGCTACATTCTTTTTGTTAGATGAGCTGCATTTTTTATATAAAAAAATAAACATTAAACAAATAAGAGATAAATTGTCAAAACTGGTCAAAATGTCGCGTACCTATTATTTTTCCTTAAGAAAACAATTTTTTTCGTTATTCATAGTTTTAGTTTTATTTAGTACTTACTAAAGATATCCCGATTCACAGTATTTCAACCATATGTACATTTCGTCGTTTAAAGTACAAAACCGCGTATCGTCATTCTGCAAAAGCGCGTACCAGGCATTAGTTGCCAAAAATTGGATTTGCTCGCACAAGCTCCTGGCTCAATCCTTATCCATTCGTCCTGAAATATACTGGCCAGGCATGCGATTGCTTTATAGAAAAGAGAACCATTTTGAAATGTGAGTGTTTTTACTCTCCAGAAGATAATTTACATAATTCACATACGTGCTTTTGCATTATCTTGGTGCGCGGTTTTGCATTTTGTTGATACGCGGTTTTGTACTTTAAACGACGATATGTAAATTTCGATATTCTTTTGTTAATTTGCGCTCGCCATTCTGCATTCACCAGCAAGCAGCGTTTCCAAAAACCATCGCTTTGTTGTTGTCGCAACCACAGACTGCAAGCGCATCCGCTTTCATTGTTTATCCCTTCTTCGCGCTTTCACTTTTTTGCTCAATACATACTTACTTACGCATTCTCACTTTTCCTTTCGAATATTGTTTGATATATCAACTCCGGATTTTCACTGATTTAAGCATTTTCACACAAGGGACTATTTAAAATTCTCCATTCCCACTTCATTTCCTTCATAAAGCGACTATTTATCGTCGGCTTATTTGTGCTATATTTCAGTATTTGTCACAGATTCGCTATATTTGCTTGTTAATTTTTTTGCTGCTTCCTCTGTATTGTGAATATTGTACTAGGTCTACAAAGAAAAACATAAAGGACCAAAGGCTTTTTTTCGTAGCGTGTGTCAAGACCTTCAATTTGTATTCGTCGTATTATCCACAACCAAGATAAATAAAAGCATGTAAAAGTATGTATACATATGTATACATTAGCGTTGCCCGAAAATCCGCTTTTTTAGAATTTTGATTGGTAATAGCAAAAATATGGTTCTATGTGAAAGATGAAAATTTTTGGTGAATATCTTAGGCTCGCCCAAGTCCATCAAAGTTCAAAGTGCTCAAAAAAATAAAATTAATGAATACAATAATTAATATATTTTTTTACTAAAATTGCAAGTGTACTCGAAAGTATTAGTCCTACCTACATAATTTGGTACTTATATGAACCTTTTTTGCAAAGAAACTTAGAGTTCCAGAAAAAATAAGATACAATAAAGCAAGCATTTGAACAATTTTAGCCTTAAAATTTTTTTATTTAAGGTGTTGTACGTTGTGACAAGCTGGTTTGAAACTCCCTTACTAAATGTTGTGTTTTGGAAGTAAAAGCGAAACCGGGAATAAAAAAGGTGGTTTTTCCAAAAAGTACTAAATGAAGTACGCTTTTACTTATATTAACATTCACAACTCAATGTTACTGCAAGCAAGACTTTCATAATATAATATTACCTTCTGATTCTAATACCGATTTAAACAAAACGCTTGCTTTATAAAGTTCTTTTCCATTTTCCATTTTTTAATTAAATGAATAGTTTTTTGTTAATTTCCGTTATAACGTTAGATATCATCATCAGTCTTAATTATGTGCATATTCATAAATTTTAGACAGAATTCATTATAAAAAAATAATAACCACACTTTTTAAATTAAAGCATAGTTTATTGAAAAACTAGTTGTCAAAATATGGAAAATAATTAACATTAAGTAGTAAAATTAGTAATAAGTTGTGTAGTGTTTTGAGCCGGGATTGGGTATAGCAACGTGAATACTCGGAACCACCCCTAAAATAATTTTGCAAGTTTTTTCCCTAAAACCTAACAGATCTTAACAGCTTCTTAAATGGCATTTTTTTATCGACGGTGCTACGCATTTTTTTCATACAAAGTTAATATGCTCAACATGCACTTGCACTTTATTATACTCAATTTTAATCAGCTACAAAACTGCAACCAATTTTTTTTCTAAAGGTTCAGATTAAAAAGTTTTAAATTGTGGTGAAAAATTCCAGACTTAATTCTCATAGGAAAAGCTGTACCGAACCTTGCTAAAATATAGTATCCTAATTTATATTTTAGTCACTGTACGTGTTCCTCGATTCCAAGCACAGGCATTCAGATTAGAAAATAATTACTGTTTATGGGGAAAGTTACGATCATATTTCACATCATTTAAAACTGGTTCATAGGCATGCCATTTTAATGAGCTTTTAAAGCGCCGAAATACCGAACTCCGAATACGGGACAAATACAGGACATTAAAAGAAATACAGAGCATTTGGCGACCCGTATAAATTAAATTAATTGCCAGGACAATTGGTCAAAAAAGAGGACTGTCCCGTATAATACGGGACGGATGGTCACCGTACCTATAGCCCATTGCACTCCATTGTATAGTAAATTGTTTGCGTTGCTACAACTCTGTTCTTAAGCCTTTTTCTTTATGATTTTATTTAAATGCTTCAACCGGTAATGCATCCTGCTTTTAAAAAATGGTTTTTTTATATCACAGCTTAGTTCGCACTTTTCGCTCAATTTAATTAACATGCTTTGAAAATTAGGGCAAGTTTTAATCAGCTGTCCGTTGGATTGGTTGAAAATACTTTCCAGCTCTTATATCTTTTCCAAAAACTCCCTCGAGGGCTTAAATAAGGCGCCTCTGGAAACTTGGTCTACTCATGTAAAAGATTGCTCGTTACTGATGAGCAGCGGTGCAACGCCTTCTGACATATCGGAATCGCCAATTGTCACTTTCTTATATAACAACATTATCACAGTGCATCATTTTTAAGAAAGACCAAGCAAGAAGCCTGTGAAGATGCTCAGAAAAGAACACGAAAACTTCATAGCCCTGGCGCAGGATGGAATTAATGAAACATTATTTCGAGAAGCGCTATAAGTTTTTGACGGTGTATTCGAGTCAAGGGTTGTATCCGTCACTCAGTAACGAAGACATCTAGTAGCAGTGTTTGGTTTCTTGATTACTTACAATAGTAACTAACGGCTGTAATGTTAATGAAAAATTAGGACACGAACATTTGCCATGATCGTCTACCTGGTACTGTGATCAAGAAAGAATGAATAAATGAAAAAATATGCGTTATTCAGTATTACTTGAATCATGAATGAAAATGTATTCTTCATTCGAAATTACTTGAGTGATGAATAAAAATTTATTCGTTATTTGAAATGTATGAATAAATTTGTATCCATCATTTGCAAGTGCTTGAATGAAGAATAAAAATTAATTCGTCATTCAAAATTGTTGAAATGATGAATGAAAACTTATTCTTATTTTATTTTATTCAATTATTAATTTTCCTGATTACGCACATCCCTGTGGGGAATAGATGCATCGTTAAATATTTACTTATTGTTTAAATCTTCCATCTAAACTTACCAAAAAACTGTTGTATCGACGAAAAAGCAGGATCAGCGGCAGCGAACCCCATACGGAGTTGTATCGGCAGGAAGCACTTACGAAAACAATTATAAGTCCTTTGGGGAAATCTCTAAACCGATGTTTTTTTTTGCGGAATTAATGTTGGAATTTCTAATTTAATTTTCAGTTGCCAACGAATAAGAATAGAGTAAATGTCAAAAAATTTTTCAGTGATTGCAAATCAGTTTTGGAATAAGGAATGTAGTTTTTTCAAGAGGGAAACATCAATTTAGCTAAGGGAACCATGTATTATTCCATCATGTTTATTTAGACGAAAAAGTGTCGAAATTACTCGTTTTTTCATTGTTACTCTAAAAAATAATAATTGTTTATTTTAATAACTTTGGGAAGTTTTCAAATAGGATGTTCATATTAGAGGCAATGAAAGGTGGCATCAAATACAGCATATCTGTGAATTTTGAAGAGTGTGGCACCAAATCATTTTGAACGAATACATGAACAAATTTATATATGTATATATTCATGAAGAATACAATATCTACCCAGCAAACCATTTTTTTTTTCAGAGTATTCTGAATTGTAGAGAAATTTTAAAGCATTAGTAAAGATCTCATCTGATTCTTCTAAAATTAAATAAACTGCGCACACTTCGATTCTTTTACGGAATTTCGGAAAAAAATCGGTAAAGCAATGAAAATAATGCTGCAACGTGAAGAATTTCTTGCAGATTTTTTTTTTTCGTACACAAATTTCTTTACGAGTTCGTGTCAACCACTTCATTCAATTTTCTTTGAAGATTCGTAAGAAAATCGTTACCCACTAATGAGCCGAGCGGCTTTGAAAGTTCTTAGCATACTGAAAAGCGAAGTGGTTGCATCTATAGGGAGTCCAACGACCTGCATGTGAATGAAGAGTGAAGTCACGACATTTGATCCGGTCCAGATTCCCACTAACGCCTAGACCCTCTCGCATAAACACCATATGAG